ATCTTTACTAAACTCACTATAAAAAGCAATTTATTCCACAGGATGAATTTACCACATATCTACTCAGGACTCAGGCACACTGCTGAATCTCTGCACCACACTCTAAGTTTTCTGCCTATGAATTACTTTTGCATTTTAATATAATCTGCATATGCCAGTATAGACTATTCACCTGCTGACCTGTGCTTTGTGTTTTGTTTGAGACCAAAGGACTGATTCTGAATTAAATATTGGGTGTGTAAGAGATAATTTATTTCAAAGAGTAAAAACGACAACAAAAAAAATTATCCATGTACATTAAAAGTGTTCATTTATGCATAAATATAACTCAGGACCCAAATCGTGTTCCTACACAGGGAGCAAGAGTGGAATATTACTAGCTTTAGGTATCAGCACAAGTTGTATGAAATTAAATAACACAGGAAGATAAAAGTAAATGACAAAAGAAATTCAAACAGATATCATGTACAATATGATTTTGGGCAACTGAAGTTCCTTTAATTTAACACTACTGAATTCTAAAAAAAGGCAACCAAGTGGGTCTGACTTCAATCATTTGACATCGATTGGAGAGAAGAGAGTCCATCTTCCAGCAGACACACACTGGCTGACAGGGAGCAAACCACAATTCTATTAACATGAATTCTACCACTCATGACCATCTCCATAAGGACTTATCACACATTACAAAGAATTACAGCAGAAAAAACATTTAAAAGATGCAGTCTGAGGCTGTTGTGATGTGCTGTGGCCCTGCCTCTGAGCAGCCACTCTTTCATGGACAGACAGGTTTACTTACCTGTATTTTTTAGTGTGCATATATGTAATTTACCTATTCCTTTGTGGAACTCTGTCCTACTGCTAAAATATCTTCCATTTTGTAAAAACAAATCTAATCTCTTCCCAAAAGCTATTTGATATCTCTGAAACAAAATGTAAAGGACTGAACTTTAATCTAGTGCTACACTGAATAACCAAACTCTGTGAAAACAGGTGCCTGCACTACTTCTGCCATACCCAGTGTGCCTAGAGAATAAACTGCTGGTACTTCATTCTGATAACAAACACCCAGCTCATACACTGTCAACATAAGGAAAGTAGTTCCTTACCAGCTCTTCTGATTCAATTAGTGCATCACGATCTTATTGCCCATTTGCCTTTGAACGTGACATCTGAAGCATGAACAAGGAGCTATGGCCCTATCAAGAGAAGATACTAATAACATTTAGCTTTTAATATTAGTCTAATAATACTACATTTTCTTATGAACCAGCTCAGAATGATAACAATTTTGGAGAGAGCTGGTCAAGGTGAAGAGGGGACTTTTTCTCTTTCATAAATATTATAGAAAACAATTTCCATATTTTTTATATCTGCATATGTGCAAGATTTAGGCTATTTTGATGGCAAACCACTAAACGGTAGTTTAATGATGAGCAAAAAGTCCTATTCCATTCCTCTTAATTACAGGTTTGTTTGTTTTTGGTTTTTTTCTTACACAAAGTGTTGAATAATATACATTTGTCCTACAGGAGGATCTTCAAGTTTCCTTTCTAAGGGTCTGAATAGATATGAATGAGTTATTATAGAAGATGATGCTTCTAAACCTTCTTAGTGCACATGGAGATTGTATCAGATACGATGGAAGAATGAAATAAAAGAGGCCTTATTCCACTTCACATGGTCAGTAATTGAAAGGTTTGTCCCCTTCTGATTAACAACTTTTTTCAGTCCTTGTTGAACTGTTTTTGTAGGAACAACTTTGCTTGTATTACTTGTGCCTAACCATAAAGAAAATACAGCTTTGATTGGAACCTCTAGTCTTAGCACACATAAAGAAAATACAGTTTTAGGGCAACATGAAAGGATCTATAAATTCCTTAAACATTTACCTATAAATGAACACTTAGAACTGTTACCAAATACTATCAGTCAACAGTGAAATTGATTTCAAATTAAAACTTAAATTCATTGTGTTTATCAAATACATTGTGCTTGACCAAAAAATGTACAGAACTTTCTAGTGTAGGGGCTTTATGATTTTCTGTTGCTTAATATACAAAAAACAAAAGGTTTAATCATTACAATATAATCACAAAAAATTCAAACTCATGACACAAATATGATAGAATTTATCTCTCACCTTTCACGCCTATCTCCTAGATATTCAAATCCAAGCCAGCTGTCAAAGAATTCATTTCTTAGTCAGCTGAGAATACAAATTCCTTGATAGATACAAACCCATTCAACTCAGAAAGTAATTTTAGGATGAAATGAATCTTCCTCTGGAGATGCTCATTTCCTCCTATACATTGCTATATACTTTTAGTAGAATTTCTCTTTATGCAAAGCAGTGTGCATATTATTCAAAATACACCCAAAAATGGATCACAAGATGTGATGAAGACTCTTAAAAATCTGCTTTCCAGGAATTTGCCTTGTTAGTGCACTCATCTGCTACAGCAACTGGACTTCATGAAGTGCACAGTGGTTTGAAGCAGTGATTGTATAAATCTGCCCAAACCAGACTTTGATTTAATAGAGTTCAGATCAACTCTGAAAATAGGAAGCTGGAACTATAAAGCTGCAAGATATCAAAAGTCAACCAATCAAAGGTAATAGTGCTGGAAACTTATTTTTTAATGCAGAGGCTCAAACCTGGACTTAATCAACAAGAACAAGCTCTTCTTACAAATGCTTACTATGAAAGATGTGTGCAACGTGCCAGCTTTATTGCAGGTATAAAAGTAATTTCTACAGTTTTGCTTTATACCTGTATTATGTATGGAAAAATGGACATGAATTAAACAAGAAATCATTAAATTACATAGTGAGAACTGCGTAGTCCATTAACATCAGTAATATGACAAAATCCAGGTGGTAAGCAATAAATTTACTTCTGCAGTCAGCTTCATTTATAAAAATAGCATTTTTCTAGTACTGGGTAAATACCAGCAAAAACACCTACAAGTAAAGTGAAAATTTCATGTAACTGCACAGAAGCTCAATAAGGATGTGCAATTGAGGATGACAAATGTGCAAAATTCCCTATCAGAAGCCCGGGGCATGTAAAACGCTACTGATTTAAGAGTTCCGGCATGTGAATGTCAGAGGTCGAAGCAATGAGCTATTAAAGATACTTTCACTTCCTCAGAAATAAAGTGCTGTCTTGGGCTGGGAGGGGAAAGGTTAGAAAAGCTGTTTATCTGCCGGTCCATTCCCATTCTTCCTTCTGTCAGGAAATCCTACAAGCTCCTGCACCCCACGCAGGGTTAACCCTGGGTCACATCCAGCCCCCGAGTAAGTTCCCGGCTTTGATTAAAGTGCAAAGACCACATGGCCACAGGTTGCACTTTCTCAGCTGCAGGGGTTAGTAAAGCCCAGCTCAGCTCAGCTCGGTGGGACAGAACAGCTCAGACCCCAGCACGTTACTGCTCAGAGAAGAGCGAAGCCGCAGCCATCGGTTTGCATAAATTACAGGGGTCATTAACAAAGAGAAAATGTTACTTCGTCAGAGCTAAAGCTGGAATAAGAACTACAAATATATGCCCAGGACAGAGTGTTTAACCAGCAGGAAACCTACAGAGGAGGGGAGAGACATTGTCCCCTCTGAGGAGCCACGGGGCATGTTCAGGACAGCCCAAGAGGAGTGTAATAAGGAAAGAATCCACAAAGATGCCAGGAGGCTGTGGAGACAGGGATACACTGTTGGGCTGCAGAGGTATGAGCAGAAAGAAACTGCCTGGAGCTGGAAGGGATGCCAAGGCATTTGCTGAGATGCAGGAAACTACTGAATGGCTGCTGGATGAGGTGCAAAGCTGAAGGAAAACACCTGTTGCAGGCATACAGTGGGCAAGGGGAAGTCTGATTTTAGTATATTTCTATTAAAAAACATAAATGTCTTATATGCAAGAATATGTAGAAATATATATAAAATGTATTTTTATACACACATAAATATTTCTAATATGTGCTGTATCCCGTTCTTAATTTCATTATTTTGCAGAAGTTTTTAGCTCTAGTTAATGTAGTACCAGAACCTACCTTGAAATTTAAAAAGCCTTGTCATTTCTAAAAGAGCTCATTACAAAGAAAAGGTGTAGGAACTTGCAGCTCAAAGCTCTAGGTGATCCAAGGACTCACCAGATGTAAATAAATATTAGTTATCATATGTATTACTATAATCTATATATGTTAGCTCCATATAATGTCCACTCCCACATGTGCTGATAATTTCATTCAAATCACAGAATCATTAAGGTTGGAAAAGACCTCTGAGATTATCAAGTCCAACCATTAACCCAGCACTGCCAAGACCACTAAACCCTGTCCCTCAGTGCCACATCTACATGTCTTTTAATGGCTATAATAAGAAAACCACATTTTTTTATGAAGCCACAGGTGGCATGTCAGATTATACACAGGTATAGTCATTTGTCAGATGGAAAATTCATGCCATAGTGTAAAATGCCATGACTTATTTCTTAAGAGGAGTTGTTGAACTTTAATAAAATATAGAAGGTTCAAATTTAGAATTGTTTCTGACAGATGTGATTCAAAACAACCTCATTTATATAACACATTGATTGGCTTTCAATATATTAAAATATTCCATATTTGGCAGGTGTTTTTGACAGAAGTCAGAACATCTCATGGAAGGAATATTAAGACATAAATCCTAAGCAAATAATGCATTAACACAAATAATAGAACATAAAAAAAAAAAAAAAAGACAGCAAGGCAGTCATTAGAAGAATAGTCAGTTCTTCTAACAACTTAAAAGTTTTTTTTACAAAAAACCCATCAGCTTTCTTCCCATGGTTAGGTGGGGTTGCATATCTCGTTCTACAGATAACTGAGACCAGAGCATCACCCTTGGATTCTGTATTTCATTTGCTCCTAAAGCCTGGACAATCTATTATTAGTCATTAGATCATGAAAATATCATGTGGATTGAAGGAGTTTTAGAGTGCAGGCTATTGTGCCAGTTATGTTCTTACCAAATTTATCAGCTGAGTGTGGACAATGTCTTCCACCAGAATTGCAGTCTCATGGAGTGGCCTGCGAGCATCTCCCAGGGAAAACCTGAAACAAAGAGGTTTATTGCAAGGTTATGGAAATTATTTAAAGAGAAAAGAAATACTGGTCTCCTGAAAGATAAAGAAGAAAATATGAATAATAACAATAAGGTTAATACACCTGTATGTATGGAAAAGGATCACTCAGCCTGGTGAAACAATTATAAACCAAAGTCACATGATCAGTGGAACAAAAGTGCTTCAAGGATGTACACTAAAGCACGTGTGGAGACAAACTGAAAGATTGAGGAAACAGAGGAAAACCCAGTTTGCAGGAACATTTGTGTACACCCCTCACCAGTAATCAACACTGGTAAACTTGTAGCAATGGATGAGAAGACTGAAGTACTCCACTTTTTCTGCCTCAGTCTTCACTGACTACCTCTCTTCACACACTTCTCTGGATGATCTTTACTGTCCTTTCCAACCCAACACATTCTATAATTCTATGAGAAAAGAGCAGGCAAAGTTAGTACAGCATGTGCAGTACTAACTCTGCATTTGCAGCCCCCTTTGTCTACAAAATTACCAAATAAGTATTTGAAAAGGTAAAATGCCAACAGCTTTTTTATCCCACATCTAAATGCTGGTGCTGAGATGTGGAAGAAACAAATCAAGGGTAAACATTTTTATACATAACAGTGTATGTGAGGCTCCTAAAGGCTACTCTGCAATATGAAATGGCAGGAGGTCATAAAGAGATTATAGTGTTCACACAATATCACAAACAAAAGGCAAGGTGAGGCGAGCAAGGAGAATAAAATGAGAAATTGTGACAATGGACTTTGGAAGGCAATTTTTCCTCTTCCTGCTGTTCTTATACTTCTTCTGCTATTTCTTGTTCTCTAGGAAACACCAGTCTTACAACATTCTAGAGAACAACAACTCCTATTCTGTTTAGTATTTCCTCAGAACATTTCTGAGAATAAAACATTTTCTCTCCTCCTAAAGTTGAGTTTTTAAAATACAAAAGCTTGCATAGTAAAATATATTCATTGTAAATTAAATAGCACAGGCCAACAATAACACTACAGATTCTTATAAAAAGAGTGACATTTTATTTCCAAGCAAGACTCAAATGTTTATAGGTACTGAATATATCAATTATTTCCTCACAAAAGTATTAGTCTACTTTGCAATACAGTAAAACATTATTTTATCTATGAACAAGTAAAGAGCTCTATAATAGGGTTCTTTTCCTTTATCTAATAATGAAATTATTTCCAGTGTTCTGCAAACAGCATTCCAAATTCTAATAAATAAATATATAAATGTCAGCCTGATACAAGTAAGACCACAACAAGAGCTACTCAGGGAAAATCTGAGCATAATCCACTGTACAACACTGGTCATAGCATGAGGAAATTACACTCTGTATTTGTCCCTTATCATAGTCTCTTGTTGGGACTGTCAGCATCTTAGAGACACAGTTGTGTTTTATAGCATGTTGTACATTTCTAAAATGAGCACAACTCAAATAATTTTTTCTCCATTATGCAGAGCTGCACATGTACATGGATTAGAATGTCAGGCACTTCCTAGGACTATAAGGACAGCACAGCAACCCACCCAGGGACTATTAAATACCTTATAAACTGCAAATATATGGAAATTATATAGGAAATACATACAAATAGAAATATAAATATTTATTATCATAGTACATTGGAAGATAAAACAGTATTTAAGCCATCACAGATTCAAAAAAAGTGCTCATACAGGATAAAGCTCAAGCTTTTATTTTTTCTTTATTTTAACAGTAAGGTTTGTAACTAAATGAAAATGACAATTAATAGTTGTTTTTAATCACACAGGGTATATAAAACCAAACAGAAGAGTTATCACAAACATAATATACTGTTAATTCTTAACTGCTGGTCTTCTATTTTTTAAAGGTAATTGTTATTTCTTTTTAAGGCTTCAAATACAGAATAAATCTGCTATGCAAGACAGTAGAAAAAACCTGGTGTCCCACGTAATTGGCTTAGACATACATTTCTCACATTTACAATGTACAAATTAAAGGGCTTGGGGTTCCTTTTCTGAAGACAACAAAGTGCAAGAAGCAAAATCTATTTCTGAGGCAGGATGCTGCCTCTACATTGAGCTGCCTTCCTCATCTGCATTCAGAAATCTCTCTTACAAGTAATTCACAGTTCCCCAAACGACAGGAGGGGCAGAGGAGTTGCTATCGTGATGCAGCACATTGATCCAAAAGGAGACAAACATAGAATCTTTTTTGGTCTATTTTGATGGACCACTCAAGATAAGGGGCAATGGCTTCAAACTGAAAGATAGATTTAGAAAGGTACCAAGAGGAAATTCTTCCCTGTGAGGGTGGTGAGGCCCTGGCACAGGCTGCCCAGAGAAGCTGTGGCTGCCCCATCCCTGGAAGTATCCGAGGCCAGGCTGGACGGGGCTTGGAGCAACCTGGGATAGTGGAAGGTGTCCCTGCCCATGGCAGGGGCTTGGAACAAGATGATCTTTAAAGTCCTTTCCAACCCAAACCATCCTGGGACTCTGTGATAGACAGAGTTGATGCTGACACATGAAGAAAGGTTAATGTCAACTGCACTTCTTGATTTAATAGAAAATCAAGTTCCAGATGCACCTACTTTCTTCCTCCGTCACTTCCATCCTTTCTACCTTCCAAAGCTATTTCTATCTCAGTTTGCCTTCACCGTTTTCCCACGTAACTTCTGCCAGCTTCTTTCCCACACACAGAAAACTAGATACTGGCATGGTGGTTTCAGCAAAAAGTAAAAACCACCACACCCACCCACAGCCGCTTCCTTTTCCTTTGCAATGGATCCAGGATTTTCAGACACTAAAATAAAAGTAAAGCTTCTTTATTCGTTAATTGTATTTGTATAGCATTTTATATGTTTCTTGATTCTAACATGCTTTTAGCATAACATTCTTTAAGATACCAAACACAGCCTTTTTTACGTCTTTCTGCTACCAGAGGTAATATTTAGAAATGTACGAGTAGCTTATTACTTTAACTCTTTCATTTTCTTCCTTCACTTTTGCATTGTACCTCTCCACAGCAGAATAAACACTAAACTACGAGTCAGATGGCTCAGATTTTCCCAAGTGACCGAATACAAAGTAGTTTAAGAACTAAAAGAAAACACTTTTAAAAAAAGGCCCCCAAATTTGGTGCCCTTGCTTCTGGGAAGTGAAGCTGAACTTGATGCTTTAATATAAGTTATGAATTTCATTTCACATGTGCTTTGCTTTTATGGTTCATGAGAGTCTTTTAAAGAACCTTCTATTCACTAGACATATTAATAAGTCTTCCTATGAAACACATAAAAATTCTGTTGAAAATAAAAAAAAATAACTGTTTCTCTACAGGTAAATACCGAATAGGAAATATATCAAAATACAACATTAGCAGGGCATCAAAGCAGTAAAGTATTATGGAAGACAGTCCTGGTAATAGAAGCATCAACCCATTAGACACGTCCTACAATAACAAAGCCTTCTTAGAAGATCCTATTTCAAAGGTTTGTCTGTTTTAAGGAAACATTTTAACAAGGGGGGGATCAACTTACCCAGATTTTCACAGGAGGATTAAAATAGTAGCATGGAGAAAGAAAAGACTGCTGCAGCGCTTTTATTGTTTACTTTTAGCTTCTATTTCTAATTTATTTAAGTTCCTGTAATGATGTTTCCAGGCTCTTCAAAAGGGTAAATGTCCAAGCCACTAAGTGCCTACATGAAGTATCATGGTACTATGTGTAAACACACACTCATACTTGGCACATGCTAAGGTCCCACTGCTGCTCATGGTGCAGGGACTGACATTTATAAGAATTTCAAAATGGGCAGCTACAGAAAGAGATAAAGCACTTTTTGCTATATTTTCAGGGGTTTAAGTGCCTCAGAAAGGTATTGGGGCAGGCAAGGCACAGGCTTGGTTCAAATCCCCTGATGCAGAGCTCTCCAGGTGGCCAGACCACCAGGAGAGTAGACTGTGGAGACAGAGAGCTGCTGCAACCTCCCGTCCTCCACAGCCTTGAAAAGCTGTCCTGGCCAGAAAGGAACTATAACCAGGGTGGCTGGGAGTGCACTGAGCTAGAATAAACAGTTTCCCTCATTGGGGTTTCTACTGAGTTCACACCATAACAAGGCTACCCCAACGCATTCAGAATTTACCACCTCAAATAAATGCGATGACTCCAGCCTAGGGAAAGTGTAAAAGTAGCCGGGTAGTCTGGTGGGAAATATGTGCTGGTTTTTTTTTGTTTGGTTTATTTTTTTTTTCCTCTTCTAGAAATCCCTAAAAACTCTCCTTTTCTGTTTCTACATAAAGAATGAGCATGTGCCCAGGTGGGCAAGAAGGCCAATGGCACTTGGCTTCTGTCAGCAGCAGTGTGGCCAGCAGGACCAGAGCAGTGATTGTCCCTGTGGTGGACACAGGTGAAGCCACACCTCGAGGGCTGTGTCCAGTTCTGAGACCCTCATAACAAGACAGACATTGAGGGGCTAGACCATGTCCAGAGAAAGACAAAGGAGTTGGGGAAGGGTCTGGAGCACAGGTCTGATGAGGAGCAGCTGAGGGAGCTGGAGGGGTTCAGCCTGGGAAAAAGGAGGCTCAGGGGGGATCTTCTTGCCCTCTACAACTCCCTGACAGGAGGGTGCAGACAGGTGAGAGTCAGTCTGTTCCCCAGGTAACAAGGGACAGCATGTGAGGAAATGGCCTCGACTTGTGTCAGGGGAGGTTCAGATGGGCTATTAGAATAATTTTCTTCACAGAAATGTTGGTCAGGCACTGGAACACACTGCTCATGGCAGTGATGGAGTCACCAAAACTGGAGAGATATAAAAGATTTGTAGGAGTGGGTTCTGAGGGACATGGTTTAGCAACTGACCTGGCAGAGCTGAGTTAATTTTTGGACTCTTTGATGCTAGAGGGTCTTCTCCAAGCTGAATAAATCCATGATTCCATGATCCAAATTGCCATAAGGCAAGCAAATACTTCTGTCCTCAACACAGAGG